TTCCTTCCTTCCTTCCTTCCTTCCTTCCTTCCTTCCTTCCTTCCTTCCTTCCTTCCTTCCTTCCTTCCTTCCTTCCTTCTTCCCTCCCTCCCTCCCTTTTCTTCTTTTTCCTTCCCTCTTTCCTTCTCCTTTCTTCTTCCTTCCCCTCTTTCCTTCTTTTGCTTTTCTTGCTCTCTTTCCATCTTGCCTTCTTTGTCTTTCCTCATTTTCTTTCTCCTTTCCTGTCCCATCTTGGATTCTTAAATGTAAAAGGGGAAACATTTCTCCTTTTGTTTTGTTTTGTTTTTAATTTGTTTTGCTAGCCCTCTGTCAGTGAAAATGGAACTCGGAGGTGGGCCACCTGTAGCCCTGCTTTCAACTGTGACAGCCTCCTGTAGCTTTCTGCCAGCAAAAATGGAGCTCAGGGATGGGGGGAGAACGCATTAGTCCCAAAATATTTGCAGCCCATGACCAAATATCTAATTAATAATTTCAAAGCAATATATGATTTTCGATTACTTGTAGAAAGTAATATATAATTACAATCTAACATGCACTTTTTTCAGTTAATAGGAATTACTAAATTGCTAAAAGTCTAATATCCTAATAATTAAAAACTAACACCTAACAAATTTTTACATATTAAAGGTGGAAGATCAAGCAAAAAATACCATTAAGAAATATTGCTATGGTTTTAAAGCTAGCAACTTTGCAGAACATTCATAGTGACACCAAAAATTATTAGATGAGTGTTACTGTTGGTGTAGGTTAAATTACAGCCATAAATTTTGGCAAAGGAATAAAACAAATAAAGCAAAACAAAAAAGCTATTTAAATTATAATCCCAGTAAACGGCAAGTTTTAAATATAATTAGAACAGAGATAAGCATAACATTTTTTGTCAAGTTATAATCTAAAAGCACAAAAAGTTTTACCCATGGTTGTTTGTGCCACTTGCAAAATACATTTAACACTACTAGATTTATTTAATTTTTACTTTTTTGTATTGTTTAAAATTCTAATAGTAATAACTTCCTACCAGAAAATGCTTATTAATTAATTTTCCACTTGTTACATGCGTTTCCTGTATAAACATTATTAAAAAGTTACTGAACTGTATTTCTTCAACAGACAGCCACATTTAACAATTGGTTTCTTTATTAGTTATTTAAAATGCCATCCTAAAGTAAGTAAAAATTAATTTATACTTTCAGGAACCCAACTTTATATACATAGAATATAAACAATAGTTAATAAATAAATAAATAAATAAATAAATAAATATGTGCATATATTCACCCCTCTTAAGTAGAATAACTGTAGCATATCTGCGGCCATATCCATTTTCAACATAGCAGGAGTAATTTCCAAGATCTCCTTCTTCCACTGAATCAAGAATTAATGAAATGGAAACTTCTTGTTCTCCAAGATGTTCTTTAAGGACTCTAATAAAAATAAAAATATGTTGTTGAAATTGTTGAAAAATAATATTTTTGGAAGGAATGGAAATTTTTTTTACTAAAAAAAAGAAGTAGGGTTGATATAATTTAACCACTAGTTTACTTTACTATCAATATACATTTGTACACATTTGTAGATGCTAATGAGATCTGCAAGTACATTGATGTTTATAAACATTGTTTTTGACTTTTTCTTAAAATATCAGCAGTTCTTGTTCCATAACTATCTTTGAAAAACCTTTTTAAGATAAAAAAAAATAAAACCAAATAGTTTTGTGAAAATGATTATTTAAATACTAAATAACTTTACTATATATTTTTTGCAATTAAAGTGAAATATATTCTATTTTTCAAAAATAAAATTTATTTCTAGATTATTTTATTTTAAAACTTAAGTAACAGATGTTAACATTCACAGAAGATGAATGCATTTCTTTGAGTAATTTAGGAGTAATAATTCGTTAGAATTTCAAGTATTATATATAATTATTTATTGCCATAATACTTGTTTGTTTCAAAACAACACATATCCACAAATATAAACCCCAAAAGCAATTACCATTATTTCCAAAGATTAAGGAACATCCCAATGAATATCACAGAAGGATTTTGTATAAGTAATCAATTCCTAATATATACAGTTTCAATATGTGTGTGTGTGTGTGTGTGTGTGTGTACATATACATATATACAGGGGTGGGGTTCTACCGGTTCTATCTGGTTCTCTAGAACCCCTTGTTAATTTTCTAAGCAGTTTGGAACCTGTAGTTAGAAGCAATCTCCGTTTGTTTTTTTTCCACCCTTATTACATTCTTGGCAGACAGCCTAGACTTCCTGTCTCCGGAGCTTATGAGGCTTGGCTTTCTTAAAGGGGAAGGGTTGTTTTAAGATTTTTATGCTGCTGTTGGGAGGAAATACTTCCCTGGACAATCAGCACTTTGAAGAAATAATTGAATAATGAAGCAAAGTTTTTAATGACAGGGAACCAAGATGAGTGACATTCTTGGCTAGCGAGAAGGATTGACATTCAAACGTGAGTTTACATACATACTTTTTCTGAGTTTTGGTCTAAAACTGGTTTTTGGTGAAGATTAAATCTGTGCTTGGTGAAGTTTAATCTTGTGTTTATTGATGGGATAATTTTCCCTATTCAGCTTCAACAAGCAACAACTACTGTTGTGATTTAATTATTTGTATTGTGTTTGAATTTTTTCTTGCCTCATGGTTTCTTTTTCTATTTGGGGAGGGGGTCTTCCTTCACTGCTTTAATACTATCTGGCACTGTCCTTTTTGGGGTCTACTTCCCAAGGCAAGTTGCAAGCTTGGCACTGATTTTTTTACTGCCTTTCGGGGGGGGGGGGGCATGTGACCTTTCCTTAAATCTGGCTGATTTCCTTAGGATACCTTGTGAGACCAGCTGGTATTTTTAAGTGGTGCAAATGGATCTAAGGATTGCTTTTCCTGGGTGTGCTTTATCTGGAGAGCTTAAATGACCTCTCTGCTAAAGGGTTTCACTTTATGAGCAAGAGTTGGCTGCTTGATAGTTATCACTGCATTTTAACTATTTTAATTCCTCAAGGTGCTCTGACACCCTGCCTGATTTGTAACTCTGGCTTGCAGGTATTTTTAATCTAATGTTTGGTATTTAGGGCAGCTTTTTACAAGCAAAGAAGCTTTTTGTATTTTTGTACAGGTAATCCTTGACTTACAACAGTTCATTTAGTGACCATTCAAAGTTACAATGGCACTGAAAAAAGTGACTTATGACCATTTTTCACACTTATGACCATTGCAGCATCCCCACTGTCATGAGAGGCCAGGCGAGGAGAAGCGCCCTTTGACATGAGTGATGTCGAGTTGGCCATGCCCACCAGTCACATGACCACCAAGCCACACCCATCAACTAAGCCACACCCACAGAACTGGTTGTTAAAAAACTGAATCCCACCCCTGCATATATATATATTGAAATCACATAATTTTTGGTTAGTATTTTATCATGTAAATTTCTAGGCATTTTTATAGTTGCTAAAACTTCATTCTTGCTTTAACAGTAGACTCTAAAACTATGCCATGCCCTTGTTGGAGTCTGAATCTGAGGAGGAAGACAAACAGCTGACAGGGAGTGGGAGTGTGGCTCTGTTGGCTGTGGAGGAAACTGGGGAAGGGCAAAGTCTAGCTGAGCAGAGCAGGGGAGAGGTAGAACAAGGGAGAGGGAGTTCAAAGAAAGACCCAGGCCCACCCCCTCTTCATCCAAGGGAATGCAGGAAGGAGCAGAGAAGAGAGCAACATGTGTTGTGTGGCTTACCTGGGAGGAAAGGGCCCTGATTCCCTTCATTAGCCACAGCTGTGAAGAGAGTTTAAAAGAGATACATGCTGAGTGAGGCAGGTGCTGGGAGCAAATTTGAGTTTATGTTGTGTTGACTTTGGTTATCTGTATTCCTGGCATCTTCCCAACCATTATTGCCGTGCCTTTACATCTGGAATTGCCGGACATTTACCTCATTTTGCCTTGATTGACCTTATAGTTACAGTTTTTGTTGACCACATTTTGGACTTGATTCTCTGCAGCCAAAGGCTGTTTCTGGGAGAGTTTTTCTCCAGTCAAAAGGTAACTAGGACATTGGGGGCAAAAGTTGGAGCTAATAAAATACTGATTATCTGACTGTGTTGTCTTTGTGCCATGCCCTGGGTCATCATAAACTAGCAGTTTTAGAATAATTGCATATATATAAAACATCAATTTTCTATGCCATTCTCAATAATTGTCCTGCAAAAGAACAAGGCTCAGATTATTTTGTGCATTTTAATAATGTCGATTCTTCTTTTAAATTTTATTTTATTCATTTCAGAAAACTAGATATTAGTCTTGACAAAACATATGTATTTTTTTTTTACCTAATATCACTCTCCCAAACCCGACTTTCATCCAAATCCTCAATAAACTTTTCGCCTTTCATCCAATACATTAAAGGACTGGCTTCTCCACTGTATCCAAAGAATGCTCGGCAAGTTAGGTTAGCAGAATGGCCTAGAGAAAAGCATTAATAAAGAAAATACATTAGACCCAAACTGGCAAAACTAATTTATTTCTGGACTGACAATAAAGTAATGCTTTATCATATAAATCTTATATTACATAAAAGTTAACTTTAGGATTCTTATGTATTAGAAACATTTTTGGCCAAATTATGAGCATAATACATGCTCAGTAGAAGAAAGTTAGTGTGGAGGGAGGAAGGGAAGAAAGGAGAAAACTTCGGGCTCATTCCAAACATAAAATTAATAAATATCTAAATGAATGTAGAACAATTTTACATAATAAATACCACTTCTCTTGCATATATTTAATGTATTTGAAGATACACATTATAAAATAAATCAGATATGAAAGTTTTTATGCATTAGTCCCAAAATACAGCCTATGACCAAATATCTAATTAATAATTTCAAAGCAATATATCATTTTTAAAAATAATGTATTAAGCCTATTCTTTCTACTGAATACATATACGCACACTTGAAGCAACTAAAATAGAATTCATTATTTTATTGACAAATATTCAAAAACAAATGATTTTGTTTCCTTTAAAGAGAAACCATTTATATGTTGTCAGACAGCTCCACAGTCCACAGAATTTTTTAAAATCAAGAAATTTTTAGTCAGTTGAGCTCAAGTAATAATGCATTGCTGAAACTCAATATTTTATTACTAGTAAGCAAAAACACTTGCTATGGCGTGTGGCTAGATAATCCAAGGCCTGCAAGTATAGTTAACTGCAAGTATAGTTCAGCAACATATGAAATGCCACACATTGACCACTTCTGCCCTAGATTAGTGCATTTCCTGACATGTTATTATATAGTCCTCTTCATTTGCTTTATTTGCTTGCTGCCATCTGAATGTCAGATTTTATGGGAAGAATTCAGGAAGTGAGTTCCTCATTTTGTTATGTTCAACTTCATCCCAGAGAACTGCGAGATCTACTTCTCAGATAAACAAAGTAGCATGATACTGTGCAGCTAAAAATGCCACTAGAACTCTTATTAGAGTCAGAAACAGTTGAATAAATACAAAGCATGCACAATCACATGTTCAAGTGTGCACAACACATACATACTTAGAGAGTTCACACCATATATTAAAACTTCAGTAATGAGAAAAGAAAATACACATGAATGGGAAACACCATTAAATATCACATTCTAGCAATCACTATGTGGTGCATAGCCATTGTCCAACTGCGGGAAGGCTCAAATAGTGATCATAAGCAGTCAACTATAGAGCTGAGTGCTTCTCTTGACACTTCAAAGATAAAATATAGAGATAGTATAGAAATTATTAAGGAAAATCTACACACCATTACAAAAATTAAAATTAGATATAATTTGCTTACAAGAAATGCATATTAAAAAACAGCACATTAAATTATTGGAATGTCTGAAATTGGGAAATTATATTTCTCATTAGCACAACAAAAGAAAAGAGGGGTAGCTTTATATGTTAAGAAAACAATAAATTCTAAACTGGTAAATATAGATAAAGAAGGAAGAATTCTGATGGTGGAGGTAGAGATAAACCAAAGACGTACCACCACATAATAAACAAGAAGAATGCTATTAAAAACTCCATAAGAAGATAATGGATATGGAATATGAAAATATCTGTATGGTAGGAGATTTTAATGCAATTGTAGATACAAAACTGGACTATAAAAGTAGCAAATCAGGGGGGGGGGGAAGGTAAGGAACTTGTATCCAGGATATATGGAGACAAACAAATCCAGGGAAAAATCATAGGCATAAATCATGGTCCAGAATTGACATGATATGGATGTCGCTGGAATTGAGAACAAATGTGCAGGAGATAAAGATTGAAACCAATATATGGGTTGACCATAACCAAATAAAAATTAGTTTGAAAGGGCAAAAGAAAAGGCCAAGGTGGGCATTGAATCAATCAATACTAAAAGATAAAGAATTCATACAAATAACAGCCAAAGAAATGGAATTCATCTTCAAGGAGAATAAAAAAGAAGAGACTTCATTACAAAATCTGTAGGACACGGCCAAAACATATGTTAGGGGATTAACTATAACCTATATAGCAAGAAAAAGCAGGAAAAAAGACAACAGCAAAAGATACTGAAAGAAGAAAACTTGAGTTAAAACTACAAAAAGATCCGCAAAAAGGAAAATTAAAAAACCAAATTGAAATAATAAAACATATTAATGGAAACAGAAGAATTGGCACAAATTAAAAGAGCAAAACAAAACTTTTTTGAAAATGTCAGTAAATCAGGAAGGTGGCTAGCATACAAGCTGAAAAAGGAGAAAGAAAAGAAATGGATAAGTAAATTACAAGATGAGAGGGGAAACTTACAACACCAAAAAGAAAATAATTCAGCAGTTCTATGGGAAATTATATGATCAAGAAAAACATTTGGAGGAAAAGATAAAGCAATAACAAGAAAAAGCTAAATTACCAAAAATGTCTGAAAATATAAAAGCAATGCTAAATGAAAATTGACCTGGAAAACCAAGGCATATATGAAGTCCCCTGTGCATCATGCACAGCCACATACATTGAACAGACCAATAAAAGAATAAGTGCCCACCTGGATGAACACAAAAATGCAATAAAAAAGCTGGAACACACTTCCTCACTAGTCCAACACATGAAAGCCACAGGTCATAGCATCGACTTCAATGGCACCAAAACCCTAGCCACTATAGAAAACCCCAGCCACAGAATTATCAGAGAAGCCATAGAGATTGAAAAAAGACCTGAAAGCATGAATAGAAGAGATGATTCCATCAGACTGTCAATTATTTGGAAGCCTGCACTCACAAACAAAAAAATCTCCACACCACAAGCCAGGCAAACACCTGGGCACAAACAGATCCCCCCTGATACCTCCAGCTCAAACACACCCCAACCAGGCACCCAGATGAAACCTAGCTTCCTAACAAATGATAGCCGTCCATTTACTCAGAGCCAAGCTGCACTAAAAGCCTCCAATACAGGAACACAATGTTGCCAGCCAATCAAGACACACAAAAAAGCCACAAAACAGACAGAAGATATTAGAAACACCAATCAAGCAGAACACAGCTAACTCCAAGACCAATAAACACAGACCAAGACTCCCAACCAATCAGGATGAAGAAAAAACCATTCTGGCACAGCAGTAGGCTAGCCCCAAATTTAAAACTGAAACAACTGTAAAAGTCTGACTCACAGACGAACACAATACAGAAGCCTGATGAGGGGCCTGCTCTAAACAGAGGCAGGGAATCCTCTTGATATTTGTCCCCCCACTTTTTTTGGTAAATTCAATTTATTATTGTTATTGTTATTGTTATTATTGTGTTATTATTGATAATATTTTAATTATAATCTGTGCACAGCTACTAAACATAAAATTATTGTGCTGTTACCAAACTTATAATTAGATGACTGAATATTGGAATCAAATTGTGAAGCCAAACAGACAACACCTTTCAGGGCCTGTACAATTGAGTGATCCTGCAGTCACTGGCCCTCAACAGCTTCCTGCACAGGTGGACACAGGCCTTGGAGCTTGCTGTTACTGTGCTGCTATTTTCTGTGAGGCTGCCAACTTAAAAGGAAACCCGATATTCAACCTCAGAAAGAAGTCAGCAATTGGTGTAAATGTCCCCTGGACACTCACGGAGAGAGCCTTGTGAGGGTAAATGGCCTCTCAACAGATAATGCAATGGAATTCTTATAAACAAAATGACACTGGCATTGTTTTAGGCGTCAAGATGTAGCAGCAACTGTCACCTTTTATTGTGAGCCAATGAGAAGCTAACTAGAAAAAAATGAGGCAATCTAATGAGAATTTGAGAATTTGAGCAGGAGAACTCTGAGTTGTTCAGCTCCACCTGATCAATATGCCCTTGCTCCTTCTGTAAACCCTGCAAGGGTATATCTGGAACTACAGAAATCTCCTGTTGGAGAGATACCTGAGGGTAAAGATGTTCTGTCCTGCTTAGTGACCGGACTGATAGGGAATCCCAATCGGAAGGAGTGATCTGTTGCTGGCCAGAGCCGTCTGCTGCACCCCCAAAGCGATACCTTGGCATATGTTAATTCCATCCACGCTCTCATCTTTGTGGAGATCTCTTCTGGTAAGTCATCATCTTGACAGAGTCCGGCCACTGTTGGAGTAAATGTAGCCTCAGGGGACCTTTGTGCCACTGGTACTGATCTAGATGGGCTCCCTTGAACTTGTGCAACTGCACTGCATCTGGATGACACAGACAGATCAAGGGGTGGTTGCAGAGGGGGACTTGGAGCCTAAATGGGCCTGGTGGGTGACGAAGTTTGAGAATTTTCTTCAGCCTCCTGCATGTACTTCTTCATGTGCTTTTCTAGTGCCTTCTGGTGCCTGTTGGTGTCTTTTTCTGCTGCTTTGGAGGTACCCTTAGAATGCTTCAATTTGTTTTGAGAATTTGACATGGCTCTTGAGGTTGTGGCTCTGGAGCTACTGCCGCTTGCCATTGTGACCGCTTATTAGTTTTTACTGTCAATGAGGCTGAGACATTGGGTGGTTGGCATGCCCAGGGGCCTGTACCAGGAATGGACAATGCTCTCCCAGTTTTGTATAATCTTATGTAGGAATATTCTTCTTCTTCTTCTTCTTCTTCTTCTTCTTCTTCTTCTTCTTCTT